CTGACAGCATGAGTGTGTGAGTGATTGACAGCATGAGTGAGTGAGTGAGTGACTGCATGAGTGAGTGAGTGATTGACTGACAGCATGAGTGAGTGAGTGACTGACAGCATGAGTGAGTGAGTGACTGACAGCATGAGTGAGTGAGTGACTGACAGCATGAGCGAGTGAGTGACTGACAGCATGAGTGAGTGAGTGAGTGACTGACTGACAGCATGAGTGAGTGAGTGACTGACAGCATGAGTGAGTGAGTGACAGACACCATGAGTGAGTGAGTGACTGACAGCATGAGTGAGTGACTGACTGACAGCATGAGTGAGTGAGTGACTGACAGCATGAGAGAGTGACTGACTGACAGCATGAGTGAGTGAGTGAGTGACTCACAGCATGAGTGAGTGAGTGACTGAGTGCATGAGTGAGTGAGTGACTGACAGCATGAGTGAGTGAGTGACTGACTGACAGCATGAGTGAGTGACTGACAGCATGAGTGAGTGACTGACTGACAGCATGAGTGAGTGAGTGAGTGACTGACAGCATGAGTGAGTGAGTGAGTGACTGACTGACAGCATGAGTGAGTGAGTGAATGACAGCATGAGTGAGTGAGTGAGTGAGTGACAGCATGAGTGAGTGAGTGAGTGAGTGAGTGACAGCATGAGTGAGTGAGTGACTGACAGCATGAGTGAGTGAGTGACTGACAGCATGAGTGAGTGAGTGACTGACAGCATGAGTGAGTGAGTGACTCACAGCATGAGTGAGTGAGTGACTGACTGACAGCATGAGTGAGTGAGTGACTGACAGCATGAGTGAGTGAGTGATTGACAGCATGAGTGAGTGAGTGACTGACAGCACGAGTGAGTGAGTGACTGACAGCATGAGTGAGTGAGTGACTGACAGCATGAGTTAGTGAGTGAGTGACTGACTGACAGCATGAGTGAGTGAGTGACTGACAGCATGAGTGAGTGAGTGACTGACAGCATGAGTGAGTGAGTGACTGACAGCATGGGTGAGTGAGTGACAGACAGCATGAGTGAGTGAGTGACTGACAGCATGAGTGAGTGAGTGACTGACACCATGAGTGAGTGAGTCACTGACAGCATGAGTGAGCGAGTGACTGACAGCATGAGTGAGTGAGTGACTGACAGCATGAGTGAGTGAGTGACTGACAGCATGAGTGAGTGAGTGACTGACTGACAGCATGAGTAAGTGAGTGACTCCCAGCATGAGTGAGTGAGTGAGTGACTCACAGCATGAGTGAGTTTTTGACTGACAGCATGAGTGAGTGAGTGACTGACAGCATGAGTGAGTGAGTGACTGACAGCATGAGTGTGTGAGTGATTGACAGCATGAGTGAGTGAGTGAGTGACTGCATGAGTGAGTGAGTGATTGACTGACAGCATGAGTGAGTGAGTGACTGACAGCATGAGTGAGTGAGTGACTGACAGCATGAGTGAGTGAGTGACTGACAGCATGAGCGAGTGAGTGACTGACAGCATGAGTGAGTGAGTGAGTGACTGACTGACAGCATGAGTGAGTGAGTGACTGACAGCATGAGTGAGTGAGTGACAGACACCATGAGTGAGTGAGTGACTGACAGCATGAGTGAGTGACTGACTGACAGCATGAGTGAGTGAGTGACTGACAGCATGAGAGAGTGACTGACTGACAGCATGAGTGAGTGAGTGAGTGACTCACAGCATGAGTGAGTGAGTGACTGAGTGCATGAGTGAGTGAGTGACTGACAGCATGAGTGAGTGAGTGACTGACTGACAGCATGAGTGAGTGACTGACAGCATGAGTGAGTGAGTGACTGACAGCATGAGTGAGTGAGTGAGTGACTGACAGCATGAGTGAGTGAGTGACTGACTGACAGCATGAGTGAGTGAGTGAATGACAGCATGAGTGAGTGAGTGAGTGAGTGACAGCATGAGTGAGTGAGTGAGTGAGTGAGTGAGTGACAGCATGAGTGAGTGAGTGACTGACAGCATGAGTGAGTGAGTGACTGACAGCATGAGTGAGTGAGTGACTGACAGCATGAGTGAGTGAGTGACTCACAGCATGAGTGAGTGAGTGACTGACTGACAGCATGAGTGAGTGAGTGACTGACAGCATGAGTGAGTGAGTGACTGACAGCATGAGTGTGTGACTCACTGACAGCATGAGTGAGTGAGTCAGTGAGTGACTCACAGCATGAGTGAGTGAGTGAGTGACAGCATGAGTGAGTGAGTGACTGACAGCATGAGTGAGTGAGTGACAGCATGAGTGAGTGAGTGACTGACAGCATGAGTGAGTGAGTGAGTGACTCCCAGCATGAGTGAGTGAGTGAGTGACTCACAGCATGAGTGAGTTTTTTACTGACAGCATGAGTGAGTGAGTGACTGACAGCATGAGTGAGTGAGTGACTGATAGCATGAGTGAGTGAGTGAGTGAGTGACAGCATGAGTGAGTGAGTGACTGACAGCATGAGTGAGTGAGTGACTGACAGCATGAGTGAGTGAGTGACTGACAGCATGAGTGAGTGAGTGACTGACAGCATGAGTGAGTGAGTGAGTGACAGCATGAGTGAGTGAGTGACTGACAGCATGAGTGAGTGAGTGACTCCCAGCATGAGTGAGTGAGTGAGTGACTCACAGCATGAGTGAGAGTTTGACTCACAGCATGAGTGAGTGAGTGAGTGACTGACAACATGAGTGAGTGAGTGACAGACAGCATGAGTGAGTGAGTGACTGACAGCATGAGTGAGTGAGTGACTGACAGAATGAGTGAGTGAGTGACTGACAGCATGAGTGAGTGAGTGACTGACAGCATGAGTAAGTGAGTGACTGACAGCATCAGTGAGTGAGTGAGTGACTGACAGCATGAGTGAGTGAGTGACTGACAGCATGAGTGAGTGAGTGACTGACAGCATGAGTAAGTGAGTGACTGACAGCACGAGTGAGTGAGTGACTAACAGCATGAGTGAGTGAGTGACTGACAGCATGAGTTAGTGAGTGAGTGACTGACTGACAGCATGAGTGAGTGAGTGACTGACAGCATGAGTGAGTGAGTGTCTGACAGCATGAGTGAGTGAGTGACTGACAGCATGGGTGAGTGAGTGACAGACAGCATGAGTGAGTGAGTGACTGACAGCATGAGTGAGTGAGTGACTGACACCATGAGTGAGTGAGTGACTGACAGCATGAGTGAGCGAGTGACTGACAGCATGAGTGAGTGAGTGACTGACAGCATGAATGAGTGAGTGACTGACAGCATGAGTGAGTGAGTGACTGACTGACAGCATGAGTAAGTGAGTGACAGACACCATGAGTGAGTGAGTGACTCCCAGCATGAGTGAGTGAGTGAGTGACTCACAGCATGAGTGAGTTTTTGACTGACAGCATGAGTGAGTGAGTGACTGACAGCATGAGTGAGTGAGTGACTGATAGCATGAGTGAGTGAGTGACTGACAGCATGAGTGAGCGAGTGACTGACAGCATGAGTGAGTGAGTGACTGACAGCATGAGTGAGTGAGTGACTGACAGCATGAGTGAGTGAGTGACTGACTGACAGCATGAGTAAGTGAGTGACAGACAGCATGAGAGAGTGAGTGACTGACAGCATGAGTGAGTGAGTGACTGACAGCATGAGAGAGTGAGTGACTCACAGCATCAGTGAGTGAGTGACTGACTGACAGCATGAGTGAGTGAGTGTCTGACAGCATGAGTGAGTGAGTGACTGACAGCATGAGTGTGTGACTCACTGACAGCATGAGTGAGTGAGTCAGTGACTGACAGCATGAGTGAGTGAGTGACTGACAGCATGAGTGAGTGAGTGACTGACAGCATGAGTGAGTGAGTGACTGACAGCACGAGTGAGTGAGTGACTGACAGCATGAGTGAGTGAGTGACTGACAGCATGAGTTAGTGAGTGAGTGATTGACTGACAGCATGAGTGAGTGAGTGACTGACAGCATGAGTGAGTGAGTGACTGAGAGCATGAGTGAGTGAGTGACTAACAGCATGGGTGAGAGTTTTGACAGACAGCATGAGTGAGTGAGTGACTGACAGCATGAGTGAGTGAGTGAGTGACTGACAGCATCAGTCACTCACTCACTCATGCTGTCAGTCACTCTCTCACTCATGCTGTCAGTCACTCACTCACTCATGCTGTCAGTCACTCACTCACTCTTACTCGCTCACTCACTCATGCTGTCAGTCACTCACTCATGCTGTCAGTCACTCACTCACTCATGCTGTCAGTCACTCACTCACTCATGCTGACAGTCACTCACTCACTCATGCTGTCAGTCACTCACTCACTCATGCTGTCAGTCACTCACTCACTCATGCTGTCAGTCAGTCACTCACTCATGCTGTCAGTCAGTCACTCACTCACTCATGCTGTCACTCACTCACTCACTCATGCTGTGAGACACTCGCTCACTCACTCATGCTGTCAGGCACTCACTCACTCATGCTGTCAGTCACTCACTCACTCATGCTGTCAGTCACTCACTCACTCATGCTGTCAGTCACTCACTCACTCGACAGCATGAGTGAGTGAGTGACTGACAGCATGAGTGAGTGAGTGACTGACAGCATGAGTGAGTGAGTGCCTGACAGCATGAGTGAGTGAGTGAGTGTCTCACAGCATGAGTGAGTGAGTGAGTGACAGCATGAGTGAGTGAGTGACTGACTGACAGCATGAGTGAGTGACTGACTGACAGCATGAGTGAGTGAGTGACTGACAGCATGAGTGAGTGAGTGACTGACAGCATGAGTGAGTGAGTGACTGTCAGCATGGGTGAGTGAGTGACTGACAGCATGAGTGAGTGAGTGACTGACAGCATGAGTGAGTGACTGACAGCATGAGTGAGTGAGTGAGTAAGAGTGAGTGAGTGACTGACAGCATGAGTGAGTGAGTGACTGACAGCATGAGTGAGAGAGTGACCTACAGCATGAGTGAGTGAGTGAGTGACAGCATGAGTGAGTGAGTGACTGACAGCATGAGTGAGTGAGTGCCTGACATCAAGAGTGAGTGAGTGAGTGTCTCACAGCATGAGTGAGTGAGTGAGTGACAGCATGAGTGAGTGAGTGACTGACTGACAGCATGAGTGAGTGAGTGACTGACAGCATGAGTGAGAGAGTGACTGACAGCATGAGTGAGTGAGTGAGTGACAGCATGAGTGAGTGAGTGACTGGCAGCATGAGTGAGTGAGTGCCTGACAGCAAGAGTGAGTGAGTGAGTGTCTCACAGCATGAGTGAGTGAGTGAGTGACAGCATGAGTGAGTGAGTGACTGACTGACAGCATGAGTGAGTGACTGACTGACAGCATGAGTGAGTGAGTGACTGACAGCATGAGTGAGTGAGTGATTGACAGCATGAGTGAGTGAGTGACTGTCAGCATGAGTGAGTGAGTGACTGACAGCATGAGTGAGTGAGTGACTGACAGCATGAGTGAGTGACTGACAGCATGAGTGAGTGAGTGAGTAAGAGTGAGTGAGTGAGTGACAGCATGAGTGAGTGAGTGACTGACAGCATGAGTGAGAGAGTGACTGACAGCATGAGTGAGTGAGTGACTGACTGACAGCATGAGTGAGTGAGTGACTGACAGCATGAGTGAGTGTGTGACTGTTAGCATGAGTGAGTGAGTGAGTGACAGCATGAGTGAGTGAGTGACTCACAGCATGAGTGAGTGAGTGAGTGACTGACAGCATGAGTGAGTGAGTGACAGACAGCATGAGTGAGTGAGTGACTAACAGCATGAGTGAGTGAGTGACTGACAGCATGAGTGAGTGAGTGACTGACAGCATGAGTGAGTGAGTGACTGACAGCATGAGTGAGTGAGTGACTAACAGCATGAGTGAGTGAGTGACTGACTGCATGAGTGAGTGAGTGACTGACTGACAGCATGAGTGAGTGAGTGAGTGACTGACAGCATGAGTGAGTGAGTGACTGACAGCATGAGTGCGTGAGTGAGTGACTGACAGCATGAGTGAGTGACAGCATGAGTGAGTGAGTGACTGACAGCGTGAGTGAGTGACAGCATGAGCGAGTGAGTGACTGACAGCATGAGTGAGTGACAGCATGAGTGAGTGAGTGACTGACAGCATGAGTGAGTGACAGCATGAGTGAGTGAGTGAGTGACTGACAGCATGAGTGAGTGACAGCATGAGTGAGTGAGTGACTGACAGCGTGAGTGAGTGACAGCATGAGTGAGTGAGTGACTGACAGCATGAGTGAGTGACAGCATGAGTGAGTGAGTGACTGACAGCGGGGCGCAGGTCGAGCAGCGCCTCGACCATCTCGAGCAGGGAGAAGACGTGCTCGGGGGCGCGCGGCATGTCAGCGATGATGTCGCCAAACGCGTGCAGCTGCTTCAGCGCCGGCACCGCCACTCCCGTCAGGCACCGCGCGCGCGCCGAGGGGGAGGGGGTGGGGCCCCGGCCGATGATGTCGGTGCACACGGCGTCCTCCGCTGCAATGAGCACCAGCATCTGCACGCAGGCCGAGGAGTGCAGCTTGAAGCGTGTCAACAGTAGGCGAGGCATAAAGTCCCAAGGCGTGCAGCTGCTTCAGCTGGCAGCAGCACGGCCGTCAGGCAACGACCAGCGGGAAGAGGAGTGGAGTGGGCGGAGTCAAGCAGGAGAAGCAGGAGAGGGGGAGAATTGGGAGAGGGGGGGAATCGAGAGGGGAGAATTTGGCAGAGGGGGAGAAGCGAATGCGCAGAGTGCAAGACTGCTGGGAACGGAGGCCAGGCCTGAGGCGCGACAAGAAGAGCTGGAGCCAAGCTGCAACAGGGCGGGGTAGCCCGATGGGGCCAGCCTGCGATGGACTCGGTGCTCATGCCTTCTCCACCACCCGTTACTGCGAGCTTCAACTTCTCTCCACCCCTCGTTACCATTAGCTTGAGGCTCTCCACCCCTTGGTACTGTTTGCTTGAGGTTCTCCACCCCTCATTACTGTGAGTTTGAGGTTCTCCACCCCTTGTTACCGTGAGTTTGAGGTTCTCTACCCCTTGTTACCGTGAGTTTGAGGTTCTCCACCCCTTGTTACCGTGAGTTTGAGGTTCTCCACCCCTTGTTACCGTGAGTTTAAGGTTCTCCACCCCTTGTTACCGTGAGGTGAGTTTAAGGTTCTCCACCCCTTGTTACCGTGAGTTTAAGGTTCTCTACCCCTTGTTACCGTGAGTTTGAGGTTCTCCACCCCTTGTTACCGTGAGTTTAAGGTTCTCCACCCCTTGTTACCGTGAGTTTGAGGTTCTCCACCTCTTGTTACCGTGAGTTTAAGGTTCTCCACCCCTTGTTACCGTGAGTTTAAGGTTCTCCAAACCTTGTTACCGTGAGTTTGAGGTTCTCGACCCAGCGCTTCATGAGGGGCTCAAGGTCGGTCCAGGGCAGCGCCACCACCTCGTCGCGCGTCAGCGCTGCACTGCCCAGCCGCTCCAAACACCGTAGCAGCGCTGCTGCCCGCTGCTCCCTGCCCACAGCCATGGGCAGGAAGGCCAGGGTGGGTTGATCGGGGAGCGGGGAGAAGTGGGTGTGGGGACGTGGGTGTGGGGAGAGAGAGGGAGAGAGAGGAAGAAGCGGGATAAAAGGTGTTGATGGGGAAAGAAGGACTAGGATGAGCACGTGCTTTGACATACAAGACCCCGAGATGACTAGGCATACAGTGTGCTGTGCATTGAGGGGTGGATGCGAGCAATGATAGGCCAGCACGACTCACTCGTACACTCGAAGGCATGCTGCCTCGTACTCATTGCCCACCATCCATGCCGCCATGGCCCGAAGCGGCTTCACAGCCTCGGGCCGAACCAGAGGCACGGGCTGCACCGCCTCGCCTGGCTTCATGCACGCTGCTGATTGGACGAGCGCCTTTCGATCAGGTACCAGGCTGCACGCCAGGAAGAACGACAGTGGGGTGAGGTGGGGTGGGGTGGGGTTGCGATTGGGTGGAGTTGAGGTGGGGGCGGATGGATTGGGGAGGGAGTGGGGAGGGAAAGGGATGGCGTGGGACGGAAGGGTGGGGGGAGGGCGATGGAACGAGAGCGGAAGGAGGAAGGAGAGGGGGGAGGGATGGGAAAGGAGAGTGGAGGGAGGCGGAACGGGGGGAAGCGAGGGAGAGGGAGAGAGTAGGGAGGGGGGATGGAATGAGGATGGAATGAGGAGGGAATGGACAGCACTAACAAAGCGAACACCTACCCCTAGCCCACCTTGCACCGGACAGCACCTCTCCGAACTCCTCTTTCAGTCGCCCCACCGCATCGTCCATCAGCCCCCTCCCCTGCCGCAGCTCGGTGCGGCAGCTGCCCAGATAGCTGTGCACCTCGAAGAACCGTAGCGCGTCCGATAGCTTATCGAGCGCTGTGAGGTACGCGTCCAGCCGGTTCTTAGGGCCGGGCGCGAGCTCTGGCCCCACCTGATTGGTCGGGAAGGAGGACGGAGCAGAAAACAATCTTAATTCTCAAAAAGATAGGCGGTGTACGGTTTTCATGAATGCGCCTGTAAAGAAACCTTACGACAAGCCTGCAATGCACCAATGATGCATTATAACTCGTACCAACGTCGGCGTATCAAGCTTCTCAAGCAGAGTGCGTGGATCTCGTATTACGATGTTCTCGAAGCCCTTGTTACCACCACCGCCCGTTACAACGCCATTCGATGTCTCTACCTCACAACCCTCCTCCCCCATCTCCGCGGCATCACCACTCCCGCGCATCGTGGCTGCTTCCGCCACAAATTTGTTTGTCAGATGAAAGTTCGAATCGAACAAAAACTACGAAAAGGAAAGTAGATCTTTGACGACAGCCTGTGCCGTCATCGCATTGCGGGTAGTAGGGCGGGACATGCTTCCTACTTAGGGCGTGTGCCCTTCAGCGCAATTTGTAAAATTCATTGACAATTGAGAGTTTCTTTGTCAAAGCGCATCATCACATTTCACTTCGGACACTTTGGAACAACGATGGCCGACCATCTAAGCTCGACCTTATCGAGCAGGGCCCGAGTCGCACCCAGATCAGTAGGTTATTCGTAGGTTACCCGAGCAGCCAGTTGACCGTAAAAGTTGCGGTCGGACGGACGGTCACCTAACAGGGTTGTTTTTGGTTTCACGATGTCGTCCACGTGGAGGCTGACGACTCCTCAAAACTGTGAACTGTTCGGCAGTGTGCGCGAGGTTTTTCGTCACTGTCGCAAATTTCGCAGTTTCGTCGAGCGTCCGCAAAAGCACACCCGTTCCCCAAAAGGTGTTCGCAAACAGTCAGTTGTAAGTTCGACCATGTTCAGGTCCTTGTTCGTTTCCTTGACCTGGCCCATTGTTGACGAGCGTCGCGACCTACTCTGAACAACATTAACGAAACCGGTTACCACCTAAAGGTCGACCTTATTTCGAACTCTGACCAGCAAGGACACGCGCCCTTAGTGTCGTGAAGTTTCTCAGTGGTAAAGCGCACTTTGGCCCTGATCGGTAGCCCCTAAGCCGAGACACTTCCGATGCGTTGGCACTCGAACAAGATGCCCAACCCCTGCGCGCGAATTTGCCCTGCCCGCGATGGAAACTCTGCACCCGTGTATTAGGGTGCCAGCCAGTTGCACCCCATTTATAAGCACCTCGAGCAATACGAACCACAAAAACCGAAGTTTGACAGAAGAGACCAACGTCAAAAGGTCAACATAGAGTTACAAAATCTTTTAAAAGCCCTTTTTGCTAAGTGCGAATTGACGAAAACTTAGCGAAATGCAAAGGGCTCTTCACTAAGTTTTCGTCAATTCGCACTTAGCAAAAAGGGCTTTTAAAAGATTTTATAAAGGACCCTTTTTGCTTTGTGAAGAGGGCTCTTCACAAAGCAACCTTGGGCTAGTCAAACGGGCATCTTGTGTACACCGACCCACACGTGTGGGCACGTGTCGGTGGGTGCTTCCCCTTTCCTCCTGTAAGTTTCCCAACTCCGAGGGGTGATCGGCACACCCTCGAAACTCCGCGTAAGGAAGTTGCGAGGCGAGGGTCGTGAGCGCGATTTCCTTAGAAACACTGTTGCTTTCGGCCCAGACTGCCCCACTCGTCACCAAGAAAATTAATTCCCACAAAGGGGTAACTGGACCACAAAATGACACCATCAAGAACCACTGGGAGTGGATGGGAAGTTCTAAAGGTGTTTGAGGAGGGTGTCCCTGCAAGAACAAAAACAAAATCTGCGGTGTTATCGGGTTTGCCCTTCGATGCCTACTCCGAGTAGGGAGGCTTACTCTCCCAAAATGCTGGAGTAAACGGAGTTCCTCCGCGGAGCTAAGTTTGCCCGTGAACGAAACTTCCTGAAGGGCCACTTCGAGTCGTACTCCGAATAGGTAGTTCAGCGATCGTTTGCTCATTTTGGCTTACTCGGAGTAAGCCACGTCGGAGTGAGTAAACTTTCGTCATACGCGAAGCGGGAGTTAGTGAACTCCCCCGAAGCTCACTCACTCCGCTTAAGGGTGGTACCGATCAGGGCCTTTGTTGGAGTTTCTGCCGCCCCAGCCCTTCACACACAAGCAACAGCAAGGGGGAATGTCGGCGATGGATCGAGGGCTTCACGAAAGTATCACAAAGTTTCCCAACCAATCAGACTTCAGCCGAAATCTCGATACAGTTCGGAGTTGCTTTCAAGAAGAAGTGATAGCAGTTTCTACAAGTTTCTAAAAAACAGAATCAGCTATTATAACAGAGAATTCCAGAGATTTCTTATTCACGCACCTCATGTGGCTCTCAAAGTCACTCAAGGTCCATGCAGCTGAATTGTGCCCAAGTTCCCAAGGAATTTGCCGTGTCTAGCAGCTTGGTTTGAACTATCAATCTGCATGTTTGTAATGCCTCTGCCGGAATTGCGTTGGCGCCGACACTTCGGTGTGGACAGCAAAGGGGGGAGCTGAAACCTGAGACTGGGTAAAGAGAAGATGAGTTAAGGGAGTGGAGAAGCAGCTGAGAAAAGGAGCGGGCCGCCAGCATCCAAGACCGAGGTGTTGGATGGCTCCAATTATGAGGAATGGAGCGGGCCGATGAGGTCGAAGTGGTGGTTGCCCGGTCGACCAGGTTACCCGGGCGACGAGGTTCTGCCGAGGAGTGCGACAGTCGCCCATGTGGTTTTGGCGAGACCGACCTCGGTGGTGGTATCCCGAGGTCGACATGGCTGATCAGATGCAGTGGTCAGCATGAGGTCGATTTGGTGTGTGCGCTGTGCAAGTGACAAGCACACCAATCACCTGCGAGCACTTGCGAAGCAGGTGCGCTGCTTTCCTGCGGGAGCAACGTTGGTACGCCGTCGACTTGCAACGTTGGCACGCCGTCGACTTGCAGCGTTGGCGGGCCGCGACTATGCTCTGCTGGAACGGGGTCGACCAAGTCGTGCTGGAATGCGGTCGACCGTGCTGCGCTGGCAGTCGACCGACTTGCATGCTAGCTGTAATGTAGTCGCTCTTGCCCATCTTTTTTCTAACATTGTTGTAAACTTTTGCTAGTGAAACTCTTGCCAAATTTCCCTGTGAATGCGCAAGTAGTGTGAGCAACGAACGGAGAGATCACCCCTACCCCGTGCCTTGCCCGTAGAAGCTCCCGTTGCTAGAGTTATCTCCGCATGGTCTGGTGAGCGTGGACGGCACACGACTTACCTTTTAGTCTGGTCGACTTAGTCCCACTTACGTATTGTGTTCGTAGCCCGGCAGCCGTGCGATAGTCACCATGGTTGGCGTAGGTGACACTGGTGTTGCAGACACCTTGGAGGCACGGCTGGAGGATATGAGGGGACGCCACCTGGATGGCGAGTACGGACAGACCCTGCCCTTGGTGGTCGTCAAGGCGGGATCCGTACCGTGTGGGCGGAGGAGCACCCTTCTCTACCTACCCCTTCTCGACCGGTGAACAGCGAAGGCGGCGTCGACGTGGGCGTCAACGCCAGTGACCAAGTCGGCAGCAGTGCGGGAGGCACGTCGAGGCAGAGAGGAGTAATACACGCCGATGAAGTCGGCGGCGTTCATGCGCGAGGGCCGCAGTCGTCGGCGGCTGCAGGGTCCTCGCAAGGCGACGTCGGAGGTCGACGAAGCGGATTGACGCCGTCTTCGGCGACTCATGTGACAGCGGGCGGGATCGCGCCGAGCTACGGCTACTTCAAGTTTACGCCGGACAGGATCTTCGTCACCCCCCTGCTGGTCGGTCGTCCCGACATCCTCACCTGGAAGGAGGCGATCGAGCCCCAGCTGGAGATGGCCGGGCTGAAATGCTTCGCCGATGGCACTGTGGCGACACCGCTGGAGAGCAACCCCGAGTTGCATGCGGAATTTCACGTCGTGCAGCCGCTGACCTTCACGGTCATCTCGCGGTGCTGCTCGCCGGGTGTGCAGATCGCCTTGAAGCCGTGCAGGGACTACCTGGACGCCGACCACTAGGCGTGGCACTTCATCAAGTTGACGTACCAGGTCACCGACGACCTGTACATCGGCCAGCTCGAGGAGCCGATAACGTGCCTGCGGATGGGCGAGCAGGAGAAGGCGACCGACTACTGGCTCGGCGACTTCTCGCCACCATGTGGATGGCCGGTGTGCAGTAGTCGATGGCGTCGTACGTCACGCACGTCCTGAAGGGGCTCCCTAGCAGCTGCAATCTGATGAAGCGGCTGTCGGTGGTGCTGGGCACGCGGGCGACGCTCAACGAGGGTTCCTTGACCTCGTACATCCTCAGGGACGAGGCGATGCAGGAGGCCGAGCGTTCCTTGGAGCTCCTGCCGCAGGCAAACTACGTCACCCCGGCAAAGGAAGGTGGTCGATCGGGGCAGCGCGAGCAGTCTGGCGGCGGTGGAAGCAGTGGCGGGAAGCAGGCGAAGGACGCCGACAAGAGGAATTCGGCGCAGGATGGCGGTCGTGGAGGAGGAAGTCGGCATCGGGAGTGCTGGATCTGCCACAGCCCCGACCACCTCTCCTTCGAGTGCCCCGACAGTAGTGATGTCGACGGCGACGACGCCAAGGGAGGCCGCGGGAGGTTGGCTAGCCATCGTCCATGTTGGGGAAACAAGCCGCAAAGGGAGAAGCAGTCGAACAAGTCGACCTCGGCGAAGGACACCGACTCCTCTTCAGGCGGCAAAGGCCACGGCGACAAGGAGGCGTCGTGCTCGCTGGTCGGCGTCGTGGAGCCGACCGTCTCGCTGGCGCCAGAGGCCGGTGAGGACTTCCAGGTGGTGGCGGCCGCAGTGCAGGGGAACCCGGCGGTGATCCACCAACCTGACGGGGACGAATGACGCCTTCGTTGACTTGGAGCCGAGTGGCGACGTCAAGCATGTGCGCGGCTTCAATGGGTCGCTGCTGGACGTCCAGGGCCGGGGCACAGTCGCCCTGCAAGGGGAGGCCAGGAAGCAGGTGCTGATCCCCGACGTGCTCTACGTCCTGGGCGTGCATAACAACCTGCTGTCGGCCGGCCAGCTGAAGGAGAACGGGGTGAAGCTGCAGGACGACGGCGACGGGATGTTGCTCGTCTCGGCGGCGGGGGAAGTACTTGGTCGGGCGACATACACCTGGTGTGTCCTCTGCACCGACCTACGTCCCTGCTTGGCGAAGTCAACGACGCCCACGACGGAGGTGGTGGCCCTGCGGGCGATAGTCTCGGCGACAAAGTCGGCGCTGGGCAGGTGGCACACGAAGCTTGCGCACGTCGGCGTTGAAACCATCACGAACTCCGCGAAACATGGGGTCACCACCGGC